ATTTATTTATGTCTTCATATTAGTAAAAATATGAATAAATGGCCCAATAATTTTTAAAGTAGAAATATCAACAAGTAATTTATAACATAGTTGATTAAATAAATGAAACTTAGATGTAATCATTTTTGCTAATTTTGTTGTAAACTACTATAAAATTTAAGACTATAAAAAGATTATTAACATTTTCTAGTCTAATTTCTAAATTAGAACTTATTAAAAGACCCTTTTTTTTCTAAATAAAATTTAAATATTGTCAAATCTTATTTTCAAATATTGAGAAGTAATTGTCTAAATAGATACAATAAGTAACGTATATTAGATAAAATATCTCACCATTTTTTACAAAAATAACAAATATTAGGTAAATAATAAAAACCCCAAAAAGGCAAATACTTTTCATATTCTTTTAAGTTTCCTCAAAAAGTTTATTTTGAATAAAGGAATCAATAACTTGAAAAATATGCTACAAAAACTAAGTAAATATTTTTTTGTATAGTAAAACTACTTTTATGTGAGAAGCTTGCTTTAAAAAAGCTGTATCTTTTACTGAAATATCCATAAAACCCGTAATATTAAAAATACACAAATTTATGCCTTTTTTTGAAAATGGAAAATAAATTATAAATAGCGAGCTTAAATTAGAACACAGTCTTAAATTAGAATCGGCTTAAGATAGAATTTTTACGGAATATTATTTAAATTTATTCATTTTAAAAGAAGAAGAAGAAGAAGATTGCGAAAGAGATCAAATATTTTACTTTTTTATAAACTTTAATTTTATTAACTAAAACTAAATAAATAATAAATCACTTATTAGCATAATAATAATAAATGTTAAAACTTAAATTTTACAATTTTTAAATTTATAACTTGAAATTAGATCCTTAATAAATAAATAAATATACTTTGAATGGAAATTTTTTATTTGAAAAATTACGATTATTTAAATTTTTTAAGCCTATTAATGCTATACTTACTTAAATAACATCAGTATTGAAATTATTTTCTAGCCTCAAAAAAAAAAATGGAATTTTAAATGAAAACTTGAATAAATTAAAAAAAAATTA